ACACACACACACACACACACACACACACACACACACACACTACCCCAGGCTATCAATGAGAGTTCCTTCAGAAATCTGAATTTCAAGCAACTACCTCTAGTCATGCCTTCTCCCTATAGACTCCCAACTCCAAGAGGGAGCAGCTCAGACTCTAAACCTTTGATTTTATCAGTTTCCAGTATCCTTACCAAGCCCCCTTCATGATCTCCTCTTCTTTCTTTCAATTTAGGATCCCATGTCCACCCCCTGCTCTCTTAGCCTCTGAGACCTCCCTTGGCAAAGCTCACGCCCGAAGCTAGGTGGGTAGCTTCATGCCTGTAATCCCAGCACTAGGGAAGCTGAGGAAGTGCCATGATTTTGAAGCCACCCTGAGCTTCGCAGAGACCTAGTCAGCAAAAGTCAAAGTTTCCACCTGGTTGGAGCCAGCTCTCTGCTGTACCTTAAGGCCCTGAACCAGCAGGAGAACCATGGCCCCAGGACGACAGTCTTGCTTACTATGAACATAACACTCAAGGGATGCCAGGCACATCCCAGCAATCCTACATTTCCAAGTTAAGTTTATCCCCTTCTCCTCTCCCCAGGCAATCTTTCCCATCGACAGATAACATTACTTCACAATTCACAGTCATTCACTTTCCTTCCACGAAGTCCATCCTCATTTGTGCTTAGACTAGGCATTCTTGTTTGTCAAAAAGGACAAGCTGTCCCTGGTCCCCAATTTTCTCACCCCTCAGATCTCACTGTTCCATTCCGGGTACCACTGGGGTAATTATCTATGCTTAGGTTTCTCACAGGAGCAGGGACCCCACTAAAGACTGCTTTGCCTTGGCATCCAGCCCTGAGGACCCATCTCCGCCCCTCTCCAATTCCTGCCAAGTAAGTCCTACTCAGATGATTCTGAATGCCTTCCCTGTGGTGCTGACTCCCACGTATTTACCTCCAGTGCAAACTTCTCCCAGGAATTTGAGGCTCACATAATCCAGCTGCTGACTCAGCACCTCTAGACTGCTGTCCAATTATTATCCATCAAGTAGGAGCCCTCAAGACTCCTTGGCCACACACCCTCAATCCTCCCATTTCAGGAAATGAAATCACCATTCAATCAACCATTCTGGCCCCGAACCTGTAAGATTTCCTGTTTCCATATTTGCTTCTGTCAGCATATTTGTTTGGTTGGTTAGTTCTGGTGTGGGGGGTTTGGGTTTTTTTTGTTTTGTGTTTGCTGTTGTTGGGTTACTGCTTTGTTTTGTTTCTTGAGACAGAGTCTATTATGTAGCCCAGCTGTCCTGAAACTATGCAGAACAGCCTGGCCTCAAACTCACAGATAACTAACTGCCTGCCCCTGCCTCCCAAGTGCTGGGGTTAAAGGTGTGGGCCACTATGCCCCATGCCTTCAGTTTGACTGAACATCTCACCCTGGTGTAAAGCACCACTTCGCAGCTGGACCTACAAAGCAGCTTCATGGTCCCCCTTTGTTCCCACATACCATGCTCCTCATTACAGCCCAGTGGGAAACCTTTAAAACTTTAAAATCCTAATCCTTCCCTGGCTTCAGGCCCCTCCTTCAGGCCCCTCCCCAGTCTACCAGCTGCTTCTGTCTCCACCTCGTCCCCTTCACCAGCTGCTCAGCCACACGGACCTCTCCCATCATAGGGCTTTAACACGAGCAGTGAACCTGGATGGCTCAGACCAAGTGCCACATGAAGTACCTGGCTCAGGGTATGCTCAAAAAACGCCTGAAAATGGAGGGGCTGGAGAGATGGCTTAATGGTTAAGACCACTGGCCTTCTTCCAGAGTACTGGGGTTCAGTTCCTGACAGCTCACGGAGAGTCACAACTGCCTGTAACTCCAGTCCCAGGGGATCCAGCGCTTTCCTCTGGCCTCTGTAGGCACCACACACTCATGGTCATAGACATGCATGCAGGCAAAACACCCATACATATACATATAATAAAAATGAGAAAGAAAAAAAAACTGAAAACGGGCCAGGCTGACTCAGAGGCATTAAGAATCAGGATGGCTGGGTGGCAGTGGTGCACACCTTTAATCCCAGCACT